GGGGGGGGGGGGGGGGGGGGGGGGGGGGGGGGGGGGGGCCCCGGTGGGTGGGGGGGGGGGGGGGGGGGGGGGGACCGGCAGCTGTGTCACAGGTGGCTCTTCGTAGCTCCTTTAGGCTCTATCCCGACAGAGAGCCCCCTCCATACCACCTTATGCGCACCACCGCCGGGTGCCCCCCCGATGACTCAGGGGCGGCCATGACCCCGTGTCTCATCTTCCCATAATCTTTCATCATGCTCCTTCTTCGTTATTCCCTTCCTAGAACTACTAAATGGTTGCACGGAACAATTCATTCCCCCCCCCCCCCCCCCCCCCCCCCCCGCAAACCATGACGTGGCTTCTCCCCCCTGTCCCCGCAGTCCTGTCAGGCCGACCTGGTGAAGGACAACGGCCACAAGTACTTCCTGTCCGTGTTGGCCGACCCCTACATGCCTGTGAGTACCCTGTCCACTCCAGCCCTGATGGTGAGGCTGCCCTTGCAGGCCTGTGTCCATCCACACTGAGACAGTAGCCTTGTTTCCTGTGGTTCTGTGCCGGGTGGTAGGCTGTCTACCCGCTGGTCTCTGTCGCTTTAAGGGTCTCTCCTGGTTCTGGTCCGCAGGCTGAGCACCGGACCATGGCAGTGTTTATCCTGGCTGTGATCGTGAACAGCTACAACATTGGGCAGGTGGGTCCTATGGCGAAACCAGCAAACATAAACTGGGAATAATTCTCCTGGCCTCCTCCAGGGCCTCATGGGGTGGTGGCGGGTATTCGTGGCCCCTGCCAACGGCTCCTCTTTCCCAGACGCGCATTTCATTTGCGTTCTGCATTATAGATGAGCGCATTTCTCCCTGTACTTGTTCGATTGCGTGCTGTATCCACGGCCTGGTGCTTCCGGCGCCACTGGGTTCTGGAATGATTCCCCTGGCGCTGCCATGTCCCTAATCCCCACGTCAGCCATGGCGCCATTACGGTTTCCGGTGCCCCTCCAGCAGTTGGTGCCTGACCTCCCACCCCAATGCTTTCCTCAGGAGGCCTGCCTGCAGGGGAACCTCATCGCCATCTGCCTGGAGCAGCTGAACGACCCGCACCCCCTGCTGCGCCAGTGGGTGGCCATCTGCCTGGGCCGCATCTGGCAGAACTTTGACTCGGCGCGTTGGTGCGGCGTGCGAGACAGCGCCCATGAGAAGCTCTACAGCCTCCTGTCCGACCCCATCCCCGAGGTGGGAGCGCCGTCATTATGCCCGCACTCAGGTGGCCCCGTCGCCCCCCCTACCCCGAGTGCAGATCCGACAGGGTGGGGTCCTGCAGATTTCCGCAGCAGATGCATTCATTAGTGGCTGATTGACAACCGCAACAGCAAGCGGGGAGTCTGACAGCCAGATAACTGAAGGTCTAGTGGAGAGCGGAGAAGCCCGTCTTCACCTCCTACAGACCATGCACCGTCAGGTGGACCAGTGGGGATCTCGCACATCTCAGCTCTGAGCATCATGGTAGCAAAGCGTCAAGACTTGGCTTAGGGGGAATCGCACTGTGAAAAAAACATATTGACCTTGAAATCCTACAGAAGAGTGATTACCACAATAATGCAGGGGTAGGGAAACCCCAAGCGTGATAGCTGCCGGTGATGAAGAGTGCAAGGGCATGTCCGGGTCCCCAGAGGTTCCCGCCTCTGGTTTCAGCAGCCGGCGTCAGTGGGACAGACCCGCATTTGCCTTCTGTGCCTAGAACAGTAACTCCTGGTTCTCAGCCGGTGGCGGTGATGCTTTGCCAGTGGGTGCAGCTAGTCGAGAGCAGAGTAGAGCGACACCGATGTTGACTGGGCAGCCCGTCGTGCTGTGTGTTGCATGCTGGGAAATTGTGCTTCTGTCTTCCTCAAGCAAGTCCTCAGTAATTTCCAGTAGGGCTGAAAGACATTGGAAAAAGTTCACAAATTTTTCCAATAAACACTGCGATATTTATAAGACAAAGAAAATGAATTGAAAATTTATCCAAAATAAGCTATAGCCAAATAGAAATTATCTTCCAATAGAGTTTGTCAAATAAGGTGGTGGTGTTGCTGGCAGTTGTGCCAACAGACACAAAGCAGTGTCACCAAATCACTTTTGCTCAATATTGTCTCTTTGAAATACAAAATATTTCCCTATAGTGGAAGGTAAATGTCTTATGGTGATTAGTTCTTGTTTGCTTTTCTCATCCTCACCCATTTTTACAACATTCCTCACAAGCACGCTTCACTCTGTGAGTGAGTCATACAGTATGGATGAAAATAATTACGATTGGCTTGGAGACCACGTACAGAGCTCATGCAAACGCAGCGGCGGTAAACTTTAAACAGATTTTGTAAACCTATGCTAGATGTTTTTAAAAGGAACCATAATTAAAATGGCAAAGCTTACTTTGTTTTGTTTCCTATGACAGAGTAAAAATGTTTTAATTTAACGTTGATGGTTGAAAGCCAGCTATCGCAGTCCCTGTGATGTAACAATTGCGTAATAAGCGATGCCGATATTAGTGTCACATAAGGCAGGCCTAATTTTCAGGTAAGCTCAGGCCCACAGAGCCTCGTCTTGGGTCCATCCCATCCCGGGTCCTCTCCTCCGTACCTAGCTTGTATTTTTCAGTGCCGCTAATGGGATTCTCTTGGAAAAAGGGCACGTGACACTCAGCAGAGGCCCCCGGTCCCGTAGTGCAGATTGTGTCAGGACAATAATAGAAAGAAAATTACATTAAATTTTAATTTGTCGCTCTGCTCCTCAGTCCGACTTTCCATTTGAATATGATATTCCACCTCCCTCCTTTTCTATCTCCTCTCCGCTTGGATCCATTGATTGTCTCCCATCTAATCTGATCTGCTGGGTGTTATGTCACGTTTTCCTGAGTTTCTCCCTCTCTTTACTGTCCATTTCATCAAGTTAGGAACTTTTTAAGGTGTCCACGCGTGAACTTGGGGTTAAAGTTCCTCAGCGTGCGGCAAGAGGAAGTGGTAATCTATCTCCACCCTCGCACCCCGTCGTATAGAAGCGAACACCCTGATCACGTGACCCCCCCAGTGACCCCCCTGGGCGCGTGTGGCTCGCATGCAGGTACGCTGTGCGGCCGTGTTCGCCCTGGGCACGTTCGTGGGCAACTCGGCAGAGCGGACGGACCATTCCACCACTATCGATCATAATGTGGCCATGATGCTGGCGCAGCTGATCAACGACGGGAGCCCCATCGTGCGCAAGGTGGGTGTGTGACGGAGACACACACTCACACGTACACACACACACACACCACACACAAATGTCAGTGGCTCCCAAGAGCTCAGGCCCCAGATCCGCACGGATTTTATCCACATCATCGTCCGTCACTTGTGCATGTAAATACCCTGAAGGTCTGCCTGACAGCAGGGGCTTTCAGTAAAATATCACCAGCAAACTCTGTTAAAGGAGTTTTAATATGAATAAGATTTTATTATGGCTATAAAAAAACAAGTTAAAATGCATTGTCAATGGCCTTACAAGACTCTCACTCTGTCAGAGGAGACGCTTTCCATACGACACTGATTCATGTGGGTTTGTGAGGTGAAGCGTGCGAGGTGCCCGTGAGGTGAAGTGTGCGAGGTGCCCGTGAGGTGAAGTGTGCGAGGTGCCCGTGAGGTGAATAGTGTGAGTTGCCCGTGAGAGCTGTCCTTCACAGTGACACTCGTGTCCCCTGTGGCCACCAGGAGCTGGTGGTGGCTCTCAGCCACCTGGTAGTGCAGTATGAGAGCAACTTCTGCACGGTGGCCCTGCAGTTCATGGAAGAGGAGAAGAACTATGCTGTACCCTCCCCTGCCATCTCCACAGGTATGCCACCCCCCACCCCCTCCCCCCCAGTGGGAGGTGAGACCAGCATGGGGCCCGGTGATGCGTACCGGTCCTCTGTGGTTCGCCCAGGTCATCATGTGATCCTGCCGTTCTCTTCATCCACCTCATGTCCTGCATTCGGTGCATCTGCAGAACCGGGGAACCAGAGCCAGGTGCGGGAAAGCCCGGCACGCATGCGCTCCGTCAGCTCCTACACCAACATCCGCGCCGCCACCACCACCCGTAACCTGAACAAGAGTCTGCAGAACCTCAACCTCAGTGAGGAGGGTGAGCCCCCCACCAAGAACCTTTGACACAACCTTCACACGACCTCTTCCATCAGCAGGATGGCTCTGTCAAATGCTTTAAACCCCCTCCCCGCGCTCTCTTTGTCATTGTTGATGTGACACCCCCTTCCTTCTTCCCCCACCTAGAGGAAGACAATGCTGAACGTAGACCTTACATGAATATCAGATTTTATTTATTTTTTATGATGGGACGGGCCTTGCTGGGGAGGAGGGGAGGGGGGGTGAGATCCCTCTGCTGTTAGGCTTGGCTGTCATCCTGCTCCTACTTCCGTCAGCTGAAAAAAAACCGCGACAGGTCACCGTTGTACTCCTCCATCGCCTGCAGGGGGCTCTGTGGCCTTCTCCCCCGGGAACCTGAGCACCAGCAGCAGCGCCAGCAGCACGCTGGGCAGCCCGGACAACGACGAGTACATCCTGTCCTTCGAGACCATCGACAAGATGAGGAGGGTCAGTTCGTACTCTTCCCTCAACTCGCTCATCGGTGAGTCTCCCCCAGGGCCTCCTGCCTGGTTTCTCATATTTGTTCTGTCTGATCAGGTTCAGTGCTTCCCCAGTGGTAATTATACCGCGAGTAAACATGGCGGATGGGATTTTAGAACCCATTCCTGTCTGAGCAAATGTGTGGTGCGGTCTTAATCGATGGGAAACCAACAGGCCCCTCCGCGGGGCCCCTCTTGACATCATCATTAATGCTGTTCATCTGCAGCGGAAGCATTTTACTGCCCTTCCCCTCTAATCCGAAGAGCCTTTCAATTAAAAATGCGGAGACTTCAGTGTATAAAACCCACCTGGCTCAGTGCTGGCTGCGAGGGCTCGAGACCGCAGTGATGCCCAGGCTAATTGACACCATGATCATCAGCTATATTGGGAATATTCCTAATGCACATCCATTCCTGTCAAGAGTCGCCTGTTTCTGGTTGTTGGAGTGTTTGCTGGGCATACTTTGCTTGTTTACATCTTTAGATTTAGCTACATGATTTCTATGAAATGTAATATGCTGTCTGTAAGAGATGGTGTTAATTTCTCATTTTCCAGTGGCTTTGTTTCTCTTGTTTTTTTGCTGAGCTGAAGTATCACCGGGGGGGTAGCCCCCTGTTTTGTAGGGTCTTGTCTCTGCAATTAAGGTCTGGTACACCGCAGACCCAGGCCGGGGGAGTCAGTTTTGAGCACGGATTCGAGGAAACGTGAGTCGAGGCAGGACAGACGGAGGTGTCCCCCCCCCGTATGGTGTGCTTCTCCATGGGGGTGCTGCCAGGCTGGCTGAGTGACACACCTCTGTATGCATTCTGACATGTATTTCATGTGGCAGCAAACTTTTTACTCCCCGGGAGGGCGGTGGTGTGGTGGCAATGGTTTTTCTGATTTTATTGGGTTTAGAGATACAGCAGAACCCTGTGCTCATCACTTCCAAGGGTTCCAGGGCTAAACAGCAGCCCCCCCCCCCCCCCCCCTACTTCCTAGCAACCAAATGAGCGTCCACATGTCATGCCATTGGAGAAGATCTCGGGTAGCAGCTTAGGGTCCAGGATGTAGACTCGCATTGTTAAAATGGAGTATCTGTAAGAGGCTACTTTTGACCTCCTTGCTAAAAGGCTCTCTGTTCTTTCTACCAGCCTTAACCTTGGGATTTGGTAGAAGGTCAGGTAAAGATGTGTGTGGCAGCTTCTTATTCACTGAGCCGCTCCATGAGAGTCAGTCAGGCCCCTTTTCCACTCCACTTTTCCACTCCACTGGTGCCAGTGTTGGCACTGGGGCTGGTGATCGGCCGGTGCTGAATTTGGGAACCAGCAAGAGCCGGCCTGCATTTCCACGGACTTGAGAACTCAGTGGGAAACCGGGTGGCAACACTGCGCCCACGTCACAAACCACGCCTACTTTCCGACATTGTCTTTATTTTGCGTTGCCTCTGTTACTTCGCCCACCTCTCATGACGACACGGGTGCTTCATTCAGACCAGCAAAGGTTTGGTGCTGGTTCAGAGCTGATTTTGCAGCACCGACGCCATTTTTTTTTCTGTGGTTCCAAATTGGGGATCGGCACCGGCACCTTTGCAGTGGAAAAGGGGTTTCAGTGGATTTAAGCTGTGAGCTGTGCCTGAAGAAGGTCTTGGTTCATGGGGTGGTTATGGACACTGGAAGGTCATAGAGGTAGCTTTGGTAGCTGGTTTAGCCTCCGAGGACCTCTAGTGGACGAAAGATGCAGAGCAGGATCTGGTCTTTGGGTTCCTGATGGGAGGGGCCAGGCATTGCTTAGACAATGCATACTAGGAGCCTACTTAATTTGTTGAATGCTGGATATCCGCTGACGACGAAAAGCTTCTAAGTGTCCTGAGGAGAGTCAGATTGGCCTCGATGGAAGGCACTGAGGTCCTGCCATAAATCAGGAGTAAGGGAATTCTTTTGGTCTTGTCGCAATGAGCCGTGCCAGGAGCTGGGTCAGTGTAAGAGAGTTTGACATCAAGGGTAATGTTAATAGCCCAAGCCGATGGAGAGTCCTTGGAGCAGCGTTTGTCTGTATATCAGGAGTGTGTGGCTCAGTACAGCTCATGGCATGGCTGGGTCTTCAGGGTCAAGACCTCTGGACCTCTCAGCACCAGGACGGAGAGAAATGTCTCCATTTGTACTAGTACAAAACTCACGAGAAACTATGGTCAGGGGTAATAGAAAAGAATGCAGATTTCAGCTTAAAGGAGGGTCAGGCGAATGGCAGGCCAGCTTCAGTTTGCAAAGGTCCTCTTTGGGGAAATTTAGGATGATTTCTTGTACCCCATGCTGAAGCAGCCATGTGGCAGTGAGATTCTTCTGTGACTGTCCCGGATTTATGGTGCTGCTACAGTGCATTATAACCATAGTGACATTTCATTTTTTCATATAATAAGGAGTTTGCGCTACTCTTTCGGTCCCAGTGCAATTTCCGTTGCTCAGAACTGTGCTAAATTGGATATGAAATTGAACGATGTGCCGGCTGTAATGCCCTGCGACTCTGCAGTTTGCCGCCTTGAGTAAGTTGCGTTTCTTAATATAAAATTCACTTCTCAGCAGCCGTGGAATTGCCCGTTATTACCTGAAACAGCCCAATCAGGTAGATCTCCCCACCCTCTGGCCTGAAGCCATTCCTGTGTGTGCTGGTACGTCCACAGTGGTGTTAAAGCCGCTCCTGGCTAACGGGAGCACATGCAGCATAGGTGCCAGTGGAGCGGAGCCATTTTCACAGGGGCATTGTGGGAGGAACAGGGTGTTAACCTACTGTGGGCTCCCAGTGCCCTCCCCAACTGCAGTCTGTCAGGGAATGTGGAGGCCTGTTCTCTCCGCCCCCCCCCCCCCCAACAGTCTCACGTACATTCACCCCCACTGACATAATATCCCCACCCCGATGGAGACGGGATGCAGATGAGGACAAATGAGTATCTACACAGGTGGGTAGAGTCAAAGAAGATAAATCACCTTTGCGTAGCATGCTAACTTGTTAGCGCCGGTTAGGATGTTTGAACTTAATATCTGCAATGGTTTGGTGCTTCCCTTCCCAAGAACACCCTGTGTTATATATATGGGTTTTAGTTTTTTTTTTTTTTTTTTTTAAACCGCAGTCTACACTGTGAGGAGGATCTGGACACTAGAGGAGCCTTTCACTGCGCTCATGGGGATTAAACCTACCCGCAGTCACACAGAAAATGGTTATACATTTTAATTTTGCTCCACTCGTGCACTGCTCGCTGGCCGGATGCCGTCCTCAAAGTTGGTGGCCGTCGTCGGAGGCAGGGAGAGCTGACATTATGATAAAGGGAGGGGGCTTCTATTACACTTTGGGAATACATTTGTTCACCCAGTTCCTGCCCCCCACCCCATACACTGCAGTTAGCAGAACCCTGTGGCTCAGATTCTGGATGGGCTCCAGAGTCCATTTGGTTTTGTTCTGCTGTGGGGGGGTAGGGTAGGGGTGAGAGAGCAGAGTTCTCAGTTTCTGTACAAAATAATCTGTGCAGAAGCTCTGCAGCCATGAGCCAGACATCGGCGGGCCCGACATTAGCGCTTGCTGTTAACTCCAGTGGTTAGCGCTCATTGTTAGCGCCTGTCGTTAGCCCCGGCAGGCCCGCCATTAGCGCTTGCTGTTAACTCCAGTGGTTAGCGCTCATTGTTAGCGCCTGTCGTTAGCCCCGGCAGGCCCGCCATTAGCTCCTACTGTTAACTCCATTGCAGATTAAGTTCAAACATCCTAACTGGCGCTAACATTGTTAACATCGTTAGCACCTGCTGTTAGCGCCTGTCTTTAACTCCCATGGTTAGCGCCCACCGATAGCACCAGTCGTTAGCTCCTGTGGATAGTGCTCGTTCTTAGTGCCTGTTCTTAACACCCATCGTTAGCTCCTGTGGTTAGCTAGTTTTTAGTTCCCCTTGTTACCACTGGAGCTAACGATATGTGCTCATTGTTAGTGCCCTCCATTAGCTCCTGTGATTAGCGCTTGTTGTTAGCGCCCATCACTGGCGCCTGTCAGTCAAGCGCTCGCGTTACTGACTGGGGGGGTAACGGCCATCACTGTGGCATGTTACTGGACCTTCGACACCTTTCTGTGCCATGTGTCTCTCGCCTTCCGTTGCCTCGCGGGCAGTAAACGGCACCTCCCCGCGTGGCACGGGCAGCACGGCCACCTCGACGGGCCTGCGGCTCCTCCGCCTCAAGCACCTCCTCCTGCACTCCCTCTCCACTGGAGCGCTTTGTGTTCCCCAGCATCCTTACATAACCTCCCACACGCTCAGCGAGTGTGCTCTGAATGCAGACCCCCCCCACCAACCTGGCTGCGGACAGGCCTCCGTGTTCCCTGGCTGGCAGGCCCTGTTGTAGCCGCACCTGTGCGTGTATTCCTTTGTGCGCACACACACACACACACACACACACACACAGACACACACACACACACAGGTCCTCCCACCTCACACCCAGAGACGCTGCCACCTGCTTCGCAGTTGGACCGGAACAGGGGGATCACCCTGGTCTAACGGAAATGTAACAGCACCACCCAGTGTCTCTGTCCCAAGCCTCATTGGACCCCTGGTCCTCTGCCTTTCTGAGGCTCGTCCAGGACCCTCAGTTCCCAGTGAACTTCCTGAAGTGTCTGTCTTCCCAACATAGACCATGGAGGCAGAAGAGAGCAGGAAAGGATGGGCCACGGGGTGGGGGCTGGACCCCAACAGGGGCAGATTCATCACTTACCCCAGATCATAAAAGCTGTTGACTGCGGGGGGGAAGAAAGTGCTACAGGTTGCCAGGGGGGGTTGCAGTGGCAGGGGGGGGGGGCGGAGCTTGGCATTTGACAGGCGTCTCCCCATCCTGTCACCTGTGGTGAAGGTAAAACGGGGTAAGATAAACAAAGTGGCTGTGACAGGTCACGTGCCGCGCTGCACGGGGACAGAACACAGGGCAGACCTCCTCCATCAGCGTGATCCGGGCTGTCACTGCACCCCGAGAGCTGTGTGAATGGTGAAATGAAGGCTGTCTGGTCGGCGAAGAAAGCACCTTGTAAACACGTAAATAAATGCAATGGAGCAGTGCGGAGAGCAAGCGGGACGGCCCCCCCGGCCCTAACCCTGACGCTGCGGGTGTCTCCATGTGCCTCCTCTTTCAGGGGTCTCCTTCAACAGCGTCTACACGCAGATATGGAGGGTCCTGCTGCACCTGGCCGCTGACCCCTTCCCCGAGGTGTCCGACCTGGCCATGAAGGTTCTCAACAGCATCGCCTACAAGGTCCGCCTGCCTCTCCCTCTCTCTGCACTCTTCCTCTCCTTGCACATATGCTGTTCTCTCTCCCTTTTCCAGTTCTTTGCTTCTCTGACACGCTGGAGAATTCTGTCGACCGTAGTTCTGAGTGTGTGTTTATATTGATCTTCCTGCTGCCGTCTTGCCCTTAAAACACATCCGCCGGTCCTGTCCGACACCCAGCTCTCCACATCCAAAGGCGTTTAGCTCCTTGTGAGTGCAATTAAACAGCAATTGGTCCCCGAAGCTCAGCTATGCGGGGAGGAGAGGGCTGTAAACTCTGCTGTAAGTTAGGGAGGTAATAACCACATTTGTGCCCAGTGCAAAACTCCCTTTAATCTCTGCTGCTGACATAAACAGTCCCTAAGCGCCAAATACCAAACTTAATCGTCTTTTCCCCCTCCTCTTCTACTGTAACTGTACATTTTATCAGTAATGTACTGTGACCAGATGAATATTTTCCAATGTGAATCTCACATTATTGGCCTAAATTGGTGGACCTGCCGTGTTTGTTTTTGAGAGAATTATAGCTAACAGTCACAGACCTGGCCGGTCGTTTGATGTTATCGTGAGCTTTATGCCTGGATGAAACTTCATTAGCGGTTTGTGCAGACCCTCTGTTTTCCTCAGATTTTCAGGCGACTTATCTTCTCCTAAATGCGCGCTGTTTCCCTGCATCCAGGCTCGGACGGTCCTGAACCTCACAGAGCCTGGAAGTGAAGGCACGTGCCGGTTCTGTCTGTTCGGGTCTTTGCGAGCAAGGTCACATGGCAGCTCCGCTTGGATGACGTGGCCATTTCCTGTGGCTGCTGCTGCAGTGACACAGCGTTGTTGGCGGGGGGCGTTGTCAGATTGGGGGGGGGTGGTTTCCTGATATGTTTGTCACCCTCCCACATGGACTTGAGATGCTACTCCAGTGGGACCATGTGTATAATTTTCACCTGCACTGTGGGGGCAGTTGAAGTTGGAGATCCTGGATTTGCTGCTCTCTGTGAACCTGGGGCTGGAGCCAGATGTGACCAGGGCAAGGTGCCGTCTGACCGCTTAAAGACGCTCATCCGACTCCGCAAGAAGCTTCTCTTCTCCCGAGTGCATTCCCCTCCCACAGCCGCCCTGCTCCTCACTTCAAACAGAAAACGCCAGGCTGGGGCGGGTGGAGGGAAGAGTGGGGGGGGGGGTGTCTGCCTGCACCCTCCCCTTAAAGTTTTAACTGCATTTCTGATGAAAGGAAAACTCAGAGCATAAAATCCGGCGTCGATCCCTTGTCGTGAGGAGCGTTTACTGCCAGACTGGGCTGCGATCTCTTAATCCGGGCCGCTCTCACGGGTGCTTCCATGTGGCCTGTGAGAGGCACTGCCGCGCTCGAGTCAGAATCGGCGCGAGGGGGCCGAATGGCCCTGTAATTAGGGCCGTTCTTTAAACTGACTGTCGGGGGGTGGGAGAGACCTGGAGCTCAGAGCCCCTCAGCCCTGGTGTTTGCTGATTCCCAAACGTTTCAATCCCCACCCTAAAGTTTGTGAAGTTTCTAAACCGCGGTTAAATAGTTAGGAGGAGAGATGTGCTCATACCCTCCCTGTCCAATCCCTTTTTGATGTTTGAGTGTGCCCCAAGGCATGATGGGAACTTGTGCGCTCAAGCTAGGTGCAAAACAAATTCCCTAATAACTCCTTTGTTCTCACATCAGCTTCTCCTCACTCTTGTACTGATATATATATATTTTTCTACTTTAATCTTTTAATGCAGTCAGCTTAAGCTCATTTTAAATACACCTTTATTTATTTATTGCCTCCTGTATTTATGTATTTCTTACAGTTAAGCAGATGTGTGGAACATTTATATCAAAAGTCTGCAACTTTCCTTGGTAACTTTTTCTTGTGAAAAATCAAACATCGACAGTTGTGTTTAAACACGTGTGTATCGGTATTCATGTACCAGGAGAAGGTTCAGCTGCAGCTTGTGCCCTTGACTGTATTGAAAGTCAGCAGCCTCTTTAAAACCCAACACCCTCCCTACAAGCCTGCAGCATTGCAAACAGATCGGCCAGCGGTTGTTTTAAAAGATTTCAACCGGGCTCACTATCCTTGATGAACAGAATTTTGGTGTTTATTCCTGCTGGGTGCCAGGCCACTACAGCATGCCTGGTAACGAACAAGCAGACATGGGAGGCGAAGAAGTTTTTACCCCCACCATCTGACCTCAGACCTGTGATGCACGGGAATACAATGAAAATACGGCAAAAGGAATGGGACAATTATGTAAATAAACTCCATGAAAGTACCCCAGTTGTTACAAGTGCAACAGTCGCTTTTTAAAATCACTGGGACAAGGTCATCTATGCAAGGGGTCATATTAGGCCAACTGGACTGACTCACATCACCTTACGTACGCCTGTATGTCCTGCATGTAACGCTCCTTTAACTGCAGTTTTCTTGTATTGTCCTTCATCAGCTTCCTTTGGCATCGTTATCATTTTACTGACTCTTCAGCAGAGGTTTTTAGTAGTTATATAGGAGGCTTTCTTAGATTTTTTTTTTAATTGAAAACTAACCTTAAGCATCTTATTTACATTGTTTAAACTCTCTGTAAATGTTTCTAACATTCAATAATTATTCATGAAGTTTTTACTTTTTTATTGCTCAGTTTTACTGTCCATATACTCTGACCATGAATATAGCCGTAGTGGCTGGCATGATGTTAGAAGTCGACATAATTTGAAATTAGCTCGAGTAAAGTTGGTCTGCTTTGATGGAAGGTCCCCTTGTTGGCCTCAGAGTTGTGGAGGGCTTTGGGAGTTGGGGAGGTTCTGCCAAGACTTATTGATTAAATATGCAAACTGCCAGTGTGGGATAGACAGTCTCCCTTTATGCAATAATAATGCTGTTTGTTTCATTAATATCTCTTGGCTATAGAGTCCTCTCGTTGTAAAACATTCTCAGCAGTTCTGTTCTTCCTCCGGCCAGTTCTGTTGCCAGGGTTTCGTTAGTAATGCTCTCAGAGAGGCGAGGGCGGTCTCCCTTTACCCCGGGACGCGGCAGCCGGGCCCGCTGATGCTCTGATCCCCTCTGCTGTGGCCTCAAACCAGTCAGAGTATCCTGTGCCCGTGATCGGTAAGTTGCCGGTTCAAATCCCAGGGTGGGCAAAGTGAATTCACCATTGTGCCCCTAAGTCAGGCCCTTAATGGCAGTTTCTTCAGGAACTACTTTACTCTGCCGTCTCAGTTGTACTTCGCTTTGGATAAAAGTAAATAAGTAAAATGTAATACAAAATGTAATTATTCATGGCCAGCTATATGTTCTCAGTTCCAGACCTCGCACAGTGTGGCTCTCAGGTGGGAAAATTGTATTAATGAAATAGTACCTTCATAAACAATCTGTAGCTCTCCCCCCTTTAAAAATGGCATGTAACTTTTTTTTTTTTAAATTCAATGCACTGCTTTGGGGTGCGTTGTCTCTGCTCCCCCGATGCCCCGTTTTATTAAGGGCGTTGACAGTCACTTTAGCTGATAAGTAAGTTAAATTGTTTAAGAAATGAAGACGGCATTGTGTGTGCCCGGGCAGCCCGCAGAGATTGCAGCCTGAGAAAGCTTCAGGTCCTCACTGCACGTTCCTCTGCCGAATGACACGGTTTAATTAAGGCCCGTTTGCATCTCTAATTAGCGAGACGTCGCAGAACGTTCGCCGTGAGAAATCGAGGGCCCGCTTTTGTTGTTGGTCACCGGGGAGAATTTAATTAATTATGGCTTTAAATGACTCTCAGGCTGACGTGTTTGTGTCTGTGTGCATTTTATTTGTCTTTTCTGCCTCCCCTGATCAACATCCATCAACTGGTAAAAGTACTTCGAGAGGCACTAGACTTGTTCCTGCCCTTAGGATCCGTCTCGGTTGTCGCGGTTCTCCGGGACCGGTTGCACGCCCCTTCTCTCTGTGGATCACTCCGCGGGATAGCTGCTTAGCGGAAATCAGAGCAGTGGATAAGGCGGAACCGGTGCTGGGCTTTACATCTGCATTCTCCCTGCATCCGCTGGAGATGCTTTAACACGGAATTGGATGCTTATTATTAGTTATTGAGTTTGCCTGGTGCGCTTGTCCCTCTGTGCACGTGTTTGTTTTTCCAAGCATTGATTTCCACAGTCAGACGTGAATCTCCCTGTGCATTTATACGCCGTGCTGCTGAGGTTATGTTATAATTACTTCCTTGTCTTTCCATCTAATTAGCATTGGAATATGAACGCATGGAGACTCTTAGATTTTTGGCATCTATATGATTGTTTTTGTTACAGATATACAAGCTGAGAACACTGGCTCCTGAGGCTGCTGATCATCTTGCACACCTACTGTTTGAGGATACACACACACACACACACACACACACACACACTTAAAAACCTCAAATTAGCATAGAAACAACAAAGGGTAAGTTGCGGACATTAATTCAGGCTGCGTCATTTTTGTTTTCTTTCTCACAGTGAACATTCAGAGTCATCAGGTTTTAATTCTTTGGAAGGAAACAGTGAGATTTATCTGTAATCTTTCATTGCAGTCAGTGCGGGTGCAATTTCTTGTCTCCTATTAGACTTATGGACTAAAGTTCTGGAAGCTTGATGGCTGGAACACTGTGCTTGATCGATTAATTTCTGCAGGTCAAGAAAAATCTCACACATTTGTACTGCATTAAATCCAGTCTTGAAAATATGAATGGGATTGGATGCAGAGAAGCAGCTGTGTGTTTTCCTTATTTCTGACATACTCGCCTAGGACAACGCCCTGTCCTGGTAAAATTGTGTATTTATATATTGTTAATGCCTCATACATTGTGGCGGACATATGGGGTTTACACTAAAGCAATTAGAGTAAATTAAGTCACCAGAGACTACAGTAATGATGTTTATGCTCGACAGGGGTTGCGGTCAGTTCAGTATAATTCTAATGTTTTCCTGCTAATTCAAAAGCAAGAAGCATTGAGGTCACTGACTAACAAAAAAAAAACTCCATTCAAATTCACTTCCCATTTCCTCATCCCATTTAAATTCATCACGTCCGATCTGCTTTAATACTAAATGTCATTAAATGTATCGCTCACATTAGCACGGTCGTTACTTATGCGGATCAGCATTACAGAGCACGTAGCCCAAGAATGCGGATAGTTTTATTTTGCCATTTGCGTGTTTTCCTGTAAGCGTCTGACGGGGAAATAATGAGTAAGGCAATATGATGAGGATAATCGAATATTGCCACAAGCAAGGGCTCGCTGCTGCTTGGCTGTGGGGTTATTGTTGTTTTTGGGCTCCTGGGGCCTGTACTACGAAGCGGGGTTACTGGCTTATCGGGGTAACTTGTCGGATTTAAGGTACCACAAATTAAATGGACTTCCTGTTCATTCACTTACATTTTGCCCAGACTACCTTAAATCCGACAAGCTACCCCGATAAGCCAGTAACCCCGCTTCGTAGTACAGGCCCCTGGCTGGTTCTTTACCCTGATCCTGATACACAGCTGGGGGTTCTGCCCCATCTGACCTCATCTTACTCGATAGCTATCCTAAAGGCCTATGGTGGCCCTGATTGATGGGTTGCACACCTAA